AACTGAAGTGCAGTGAAAATCAGATGGGAAAAAGTGAGCATATGAGCAAAGGACAAAGGAATATCAGAAATGGTCTTGGATATGGAATGTCTTGACATTGATCTTGAAAACAACTCTCTCCTTTTTATCACTTGCCAACTCATCTATGTGTGTATGTCACCACATCACACCTACACTGACCATATAATGCAGTTTAATTGCATTGAACTGTGTAATGAACTCATACCTTTTCTTCGTAGGCTGCAGCCTGGAAGTCAGTGAGCTGGCCTCCATGTTGAGAAGGCAACTCAGGATGGCAGACATGATGGTATAGGCAGAGAGGCAAGGGGAGGAGTCAGCTAACTCCTGATTGGTTCAGACCCCAAGGGGAGGAGTTGAAGGAGAGTGTAAATAGGCTGTCATTTCTGACAGAAGAGAGAGAGAAGGATTTGATCTAGCAGAGAAAAGATTAGGATTTCAGACAGGGAGAAGAGAGTTTCTTAGTGAGCTAGGAATTAGCCTGTTATGGAATAATTAAAGAGCAAGTGCTTCTGTATAGTTTGACTAGGGCAGTCAAAGTGAAGGTTTGTCTACTTGTATTAGGACAGAATACAAGTGGGTTTATTTCCCTAAAGTTCAGAGTAGTCCAGGGGAAACCTAGATACTCTGGTAGGCAGCCAGGGGAGGCTGGCCAAAGAAATGCACTGTTACATATTACAGGATAGTGTGAGGAAAGTAGCTCATGTTAAGGAAAAGTTACTCCTTCTAAAGAACCAATTTGCTTAATAACTCTGTGCTTCAGAAACAAATTACGCGTATGTACCTGTCAGTAGTCAGTTGTTTGCTTCAAATATTTCAATAAACCTGTTCTCTAGTTTACTGTTAATCTGCCTCAGCCTTGTTTTATCATATATGGTTAGATCCAGTAAGCCTCCACATCTCTACAGTTCAGTCACCAGAAAGGGAACCAAAAGGAAGAACCGGTGTATAGGGACATTTTACCTCAAGTTCAACAACAAGACAATTCCTCAAACTGTAATTTGGGGGTGGTGGCAGCAAACCTACCATTACACACACATTGTTCTCTCTCATCACCTGTAATTCCCTCGTATATTCTTTTACAGTGGTGGCAGCGGTGGGATTGAAAAGAAAGGTTCCCCCCTGTCACATGCAATAAAAGATCCTTATTTGCATTATAAACTGCATTATCTGAGTCTACTTCCATAAAATGCAGCCAAACTTCATTGTGAAGCTGCGTTATATGGCAGTATAGTTGGGACCACAGTCATAGTTGATAAAATACTGTGAATTTATGTGATATTAGGCTATTACTCTTATTCCTAGCATTGTTTTAGTGTTAAAAGTGATGGCCATGTTAGTTTTAGTAGAAGGGATAAAGGAACTCTGTAATACCTTGGAGACTAAGAAAAAGAAATTCCCTTTCTTTCTTTCTTTCTTTCTTTCTTTTTTTCCTTCTTTTGTCTTGGTTTGTGACTCAAAGCAGCTCACAACTGATTAAAACACATAAAGTTCATAAAATACAAAAATTAAAAGATATTAAATGACCAATTAAAACATACATTATTGAACACATACACAGACCCAAACAAAAATAGAAAAATCCCCTTATTGTTTATATGAAACAGGGCTACTATTTCATTATCTGGGTGGCGGCCACAAGGGAGTGCTAGAGAGAAAATGATAGTCCATTTTATTGGGAGGGGAGTTTAAGTAGGAAAAACATTTCCCCTATTGTCTCTGTATTTTCCCCTTCCCATATAATAAACAATAGTTGTTTCCATGACAGGGACATGGATGGGGGGAATAAAAGGATAACAAGGGAAATGGTTTTCCTCCTTCAACCTACTCTCTACCCTTGTAAAATGGACTATCCTTCTCTCTTTCTACTGCCCCCTTGTGGCTTCCACTTGGATAATAGAGCATTACCGAGACAGACTTATACAATCAGTCATCAAATGCCTGTCCAAACAGAAAAGTCTATGAAAAGAAAGGGAAGCTGCCAGTCTAACCTCTCTAGCAAGGAAGACCCTCTTCCTTGTCCTCACTCAATATACCTGTGAGGGTGGTGGGACAGAGAAAATGGCAGAAAAGTAGATTCCACCTCATTCTCAATTTCAACTGGTATTATTTCCAGAATTAAGTTTGTACAAAACTTGGCCCTGGCTTTCCAAAGAACCTGGAAGTCATTTAGACATTCCTATGTTTCAGGTCATCATGTCACACTATCAAATAACTCCCTTTATATATGATCAGATACTAAGCTTTTGACATAAACAGGAGCTTAAGTAATTAGCAAAATGGACCCCAAAGCCAGCACATATATTTTGCTGACTTGTTAAACTGCAACAGCAGCCCATTATTCTTCAGGCCTTTGGCTGCAATTACTGCTTACTCCCCCCCCTTTTCTCCCTCTCTTGTTGCTTATATAAATGCTAATTAATCTCATTTCATTAGCTTAGGTTTGCCACTTAATAGTCTTTACTATCTGTTTCCTTGCCTTGGATATGGAAAAACAATATCTGCTATAAAGTCGTGTTTGTTATGACATTGCAGTTGCCAATATAGAAGACTCTCAAATCAATCTATTTTAGATTTTTTTAAAAGCTATTTTTTTGGAAGAATGATAATGGATCAGACCATAGTCTTATAGCATTCAGCACTATTTGCATGGTATCTGGTCAGATCTATGGATACAGAAATCAAGGTTTTAGAACAGCAACCTCACATTGCGCATTCAATTATACTGTCTCTGTACAGATTTATAGATCCACCCATCCATCCATGATTGGATGAAACTATATATCTATCCTGACTTTTTAACTATCAGTAGTCTGATTGTCTATGAATTTATCCATTTTCCTATTAAATCTCTCTAGTTTTATAGACGTCACTACACTTTATGATAGCAACTGCTTCAATTTAATAATGTGCTATATCTAGCAATATATCCTTTTCTCTGATTTCTAAATTCCCATCACTCAGATTCAGTTGATCACCCAGCTTCTAGTATTATTTGAAAATAAGATTAAAACATCTGCAAACAATTTGTATATATCACCCCCCCCCCCCAAATGAGGCAGTTGTTCTAATCCTTTGTTTATTTTGGTTGCCCTTTTCTGTACTTTTCTTTAACAGAGATAAGATGGGGCATAATGTATAGAATACATCCTCAGCTATAGCATTTTCCATATAGAAAATAGTGTTTTATGCACAGAGAACCATATTCTCTTGGCAGAAATATGTTTTCATTTCAGAAACTGATTTTTCTATGTGCAAATCCTGTTTTTGGTGAAAAATTGCCACATGTGAATTTTGTGCAAACCAAACAAATAAATCCTCATATTCCCAAGATTCCTACCAGTTTAGGAGTTCCCCTCAGCTGAGAAACATGTTTTCCCACCACTTTTCATATATTTTCAAATATTCTTTCAATCCTTGTTTAATTGATCAACAATATGACTCCATGCTTGTACCTAATTTTGCAAATCAGCTCTGCATCCTGGATGACCTTATCTAGTACAATAATGATGTACTAACAACCTTGTTACACAGCCACTGGAGTTGCTTCCCTGTGTCGGGGGGCCTGGGGAACCCGGCGCCCCTAACCAACATCATCCGGTTTGTAAAGGGCGATCCTATGGGGAGAAGCATAGATTGCATGGCTTTCCCCCATGGCTCATTATAGCAACACGGGAAGCCTATTGTGTGCCGTGGTGGCAGCATGCACCAGCTCTGCCCTACTTTACCTATGGAACCCTGCTGGCATCGTTTAATGGGAGCTGGCAGAATCCGTGGGTGACCTGAACATGCTTCTTATTTTAGCCCTTTGTGATGAGATTGTAAACAAAACTACCAATAACAAACATGTTCAACTAATCTTGGAGGAAACACATGTGGCCTAGTACCTTACTTTCCCTATGCTTGCTTTAGATCCACCTTTCCTGATGTGATTATTTAATGTTGACATTTCAGATGGAACATCTGCTGCTTGGCCTTATTCTATCACAAAAGCCAACTAAGCCAGTTTGAGTAGTTTGAACAGTTTGGCAAAAAAAGCCCAGAGCCAACAACTTCGAACAAACAAACAAGAAAGAGCCCCCAAAGCCTAGCAGAGAACTCCTTCAAATATATTTGATCATGCATTGCCTCCAGAGAATGCTCACTCTACTTCTTGACATCAGATTGATGTGTCCCTGAAAAATCTTCCAATCCAAATGCAGCATCCTTCCTTTTTCTTATTAGACTGGATCATCCTATGTTAGTCCAAGTAGAGTAAATCCATCAAAAGGAATGGAACCTTTTAGTAACCTCTATTCTAGTTAGACTGAGCCCTTTGAGCTCATTTCTCTGTTCAGAACCCATTTTTGGAGTCCCTGCTGGGGCACTCCACTATTTCATAACAAAATAGATGGTTGGATGTGCACCAAGGACATATCTGAGAAGGTCTAAGATACAGGATAGCTGAAATTGTATATCAGAACCAACTGTTGGGAGGACTTTTTGGAAAACCTCAGAAATTAACCCAAGAGGGGATGGATTATTAGTATACACACTCATGTACATACTCATACAGTACGCAAAGAGTAGGCCATTATTATCCCTATATCAGCTTGTGTTTGTGAGAGGTGAGACATATTGGCTTGCTAGAGACTTACAAATGTTAGTTTTATGTCCCCATTCATTTTAATGACAAAGATATTACTCTATTAAAATGAAAAAGAAATAGGAAGTGTGACCCTTGTTTTATGAAACTGTAGCGGTTTCATGCAGTTTATTTAATCTATTCAGCAGAGTCTAATATGACAGTAAAATGAGTTGATACTTGAAGCTTGAAGTTGTCAGCCAGCAAAACCAAGGGAAACCACATTTTGAGTTCCAAAAATGTAACAATAGTTTCCTTGTGCTAATATCTAGTTACTTTTTTATTTAGACATAACATAATCCTGTTTCTTCTCTCAGCTTTATTTTAAAAACCAATTCCACATTTTCTTATGTTGCAGATTTAGATCCAGTGATTAAAATGCTTTTTCTACAAACTGTAAAGCCATCATTTGAAAATATCTCTCACGTAAGTAGGATGCTTAGAAGATGAAAATGAAGAATTTAGTTTTTCAGCAGTTTTCACCTAAACATACTCTGTAAAATAGATGAAATTCAAAAACCATGGGTCTGTCAATTGCCAGTATTACATTGTGTGTGCATCTAAACTGTAGAATGAATACAGTTTGACATTACTTTAACTGTCATGGCTCAATGCAGTGGAATCATGGGATTTGTAGTTTGGGAAGACAGCAACATTCTTTTGCAGAGAAGGCTGAAGAGTCTATAGCACTGAGCCATGGCAGTTAAATCAGTGTCAAATGCATGAATTCTGAGTTATACCAATATTGCAGGACAGTCGGATTCAAGACCTCATGATCTTGAATACAAATTTTGAATGTTATGCTTTTCCAATAGGGATTGTTTTTTGTGCAGTGCAGCCAGGGTTTTTTATTTGTTTGCTTGCTTGGTCTTCAAAGGATCTTGACAAATGGCTGATGGCTATAATTACTAGGCCTGGGTAACAACGGAAAAATTTGTTTCTAAAATCGATTTGTATTTGGGGTTTTTTTGTTTCGATATTTAAAATAATTACAAAATTTTCCTTTTAAAAAGTTCGATATTTACAAAATTTCGTAAATGGTAAAAAATTAACGAATCGATTTCCGAAACAATAACGAATCGATTCGTTAATGGCGGACGCGACCGCGAAATACGCTAAAAAACCTCCAAAACCTTCTGAAGCTTCCCTCTCCCTCTGTTGTCGACTGTTGGTGTGATATTATAATTTTTTTCACTAATTAAACCATAAAACTGGCCCAGACATGCGGAAATAATAACGAAACGACCTCAAAACAATAACGAAACGAATACAATATCGAAATACGAAGCATTTACGAAACGTTTTTGAAAATTCGTTTTTTTTAATAATTGCTCCAGAATGGTTCGTTATCGTTTTGTAATTGAAAAAATTAACGAATTATTAACGAATTACGAATTAACGAAACGAAACCGCCCAGCCCTAATAATTACCTGTAGTATTAGAAGCATCATGTCTCTAAGTAGCAGTTGCAAGGGATCAAGTCTGGTGGAATGCTATTGTGCTTATGGTCTGTTCCTAGACTGTCTGTAGGGATCTTGTTGGCCACAGTGGTAACAAAACATTGGACTAAATGGCCCTTTGGTCTGTGCCAGGAGGGCTCTTCTCACATAGTAAAGTAATTGTACAACTGAAAAATTAAAATTGATGTAAAACAAACCCAACATAATTCTGCCACAGAGACTTTAAACACCATTGTTATGAAGTCCCCACAACTTCCATACCATCAAATATTCATGTTCCATTTAAATATTGTATAATCCAACATTTAATGTTTTATTAATTAGGCAAAATGTATTCATTTTCCTTTAATAGATACTGTTCTGCCTAATCTTGCGATAGTTCTTGTCTGAGTTTTATTTTCTGCATCCTTGTGTTTCGGTTGCCTAAAAGAGTCTGTTGAGAATATTTTAAGGTTGGTGAGCCCAACTTTTTTCCTTCCCTGTATGCCGAAGAACTGTAATGAACTCAGTGCCTATTCAGTTGCTACGTGTAGGATGTGTTTTGGGTCTTGTCAATCTGTGAAGTAAGGTGGAGAATCATTTATTTTTCTTGATGTAATGTAATCTAGAGTGCTAAGAGAAGGCACTCTTAAAATTATGTTCTCATTTAAAATTATTCAGCAGAAAAGATATCACTATGTTCATTAAACATGGAACCCAAGAGATCAAATCCACAGATGTATTTTTTATAAAAGAGTCTATAACTTTAACTCATAAACATTGCTTCTTATTCTGAGTGCAACGTGTTAAAAAGTGTTATGTGGAGTGTAATATATAACTAATCTGTTACTGATCTGTTAATTTTTTTAGGTTTTTTAAAAAATACCACTCCTTAAAAATGCTAAAAACCAAAAACTATCATAAAAGCAAGGTTTCAGGCATATCAAATAAACATGCAACATGAAAACAACTAGTTTGCATGTTGCAAATCACTCTGATCACTTCTGGTGTGAGAGAATCAGCCATCTACAAAGACATTGCCCAAGGGATGCCAGGATGTGTTGCAATCCTGTGGGGCGGCTTCCCTCACGGAGGACCTTTTTAAGCAACTCCAGAGGCACTCCAAGTGGCCAGCTACTGGTCAAAAGACATTCAGTATAATGCCAAGCCTTTTAAAAATTGTGTTTTTTAAATACATTACAACTGTACCCTCGGTTTGCTTCTGATACAATAAATAACCAGTTGCTTTCATTTTTAAAAGCACAGCTATCAATTTGACTAATGAAGAATTAATACATGTGGTATAGTGACTTGAGCTCTGGAGATCAGGGTATAAATTCCCTTCAGCTATGGATAGTTTTACAATTTCACTAGCTTTCTCTGAAAAAGAGTGTTGGTGTATTTCCAAAATACAAGTCCCTTGATTCCATAGCATTGAGCCATGGTGTCAAACTGTGCTAATACTACAGAGTAGATGCACCCTTAATTCTATTTACAGTATATGTGGAATTGCATAATTTGAGCCAAAATATGTTAAATCATGAACACATTTTTTCATAGATTTGAAAACATTCCAGATTGATACAGAAAGAGAATATTTAGGGCAAACACATGGTAAAACACTTATTTAGTGTCAGCTCTATTGAACAGTATCAATATTTTTAACCAAAGGGAATTATCAGTGTACATGGTTCCCCATCAACAGAATTTTATTCCATCTACTGCTGACATCTCAGACGATGTCAGCAGATAGCAGCGGTCCAAATTAGATTTATCAGGCTTTCTTACTTAGCCCTGGATGGAAACCTAGTATTTGACTTATATTTTTTCATATTTTTCTCAATAGTCTATATGAGGTAAACTCACTAGGGGGATATAATATTGCAACTTATCCTGGAAACATGACTGCAATATACTTGAGGATGTTGTGTCTATACTATGTTACCAAATGTTGGAAAATGTACTACCTCTTAATCCATGTATTTTCTTCTGTTCTTAGATTAGTAGCTATGGAAATTCTGTGTTTATAAAATATTAAATGTTTAAAGACCTGCAGCTGCACCAATCCTTTTCAATGACCACTTCCAACTAGGGATACAGGAAATTCTCAGTCTTGGTTTCATTGTATTTCTCATAATGCCACCTGTATTCTCACCCTTTCCTTTGTTCACAAAGGTTGAGATACATTTTTTTCTTTTTTCTGCTTAATGCGTTGTTTTCACAGTAAAAAGGATTGTGTGATCCATAATATGCATTATGCACGTTGGCAAAAGCATG